AGTTATGGTATATTCACACAATGGAATACTACGCAACAATAAAGAACAACGACGAAGCCATGAAACATTTTATAACGTGGAGGAATCTGGAAGGCATTATGCTAAGTGAATTTAGTCAGTCGCAAAAGGACAAATATTTGAATAAGACCACTATTATAAGAACTCAAGAAAAGGTTTAAACACAGAAGAAAGCATTCTTTGATGGTTACGAGGGTGGGGAGGGAGGGAGAAGGGTATTCACTAACTAGATAGTAGCAAGAATTATCTTAGGTGAAGGGAAGGCCAACACACACTACAGGGGAAGTCACAACTGGACTAAACCAAAAACTAACAAGTTCCCTGAATACAACCAAACACTTTGAGGGACAGAGTAGCAGGGTGGGGGTCTGGGGACCATGGTTTCAGGGGACATCTAGGTCAACTGGCATAACAAAGTTTATTAAGAAAATGTTCTGCATCCTACTTTGGTGAGTGGCGTCTGGGGTCTTAAAAGCTAGCGAGCGGCCATCTAAGATGCATCAATTTGTTCCAACCCACCTGGAGCAAAGGGGAATGAAGAACACCAAAGACACAAGGAAAATATTAGCCCAAGAGACAGAAAGGGCCACATAAACCAGAGACTCCATCAGCCTGAGACCAGAAGAACTAGATGGTGCCGGGCTACGACCAATGACCACCCTGACAGGGAACACAACAGAAAGTCCCTGACAGGCAGGAGAAAAGTGGGCTGCAGAACTCAAATTCCAGTAAAAAGACCAGATGTAATGGTTTGACTGAGACAGGAGGGACCCTGGAAGAAATGGCCCCCGGACTCTCTGGTAGCCCAGAACTAAAACCATTCCTGACACCAACTCTTCAGACAAAGATTAGACTCAACTATGGGACATAAAATGATACTCTTGAGAAAATGTGCTTCTTAGCTCAAGTACATACACAAGAGTAAATGGGCAGCTCCTGTCTGGAGGTGAGATGAGAAGAAGGCAGAGAGGGTCAGGAGCTGGTTGAATGCACATGGGAAATTCGGGGTGGAAAGGAGGAGTGTGCTGTCACATTACAGGGAGAGCAACTAGGGTCACATAACAATGTGTGTATAAACTTTTGTATAAGAGACTAACTTGAATTGTAAACTTTTACTTAAAGCAATAAAAGAAAAAAATAATAAGTGATGCTGGGAAAATTAGATTTCCACATGCAGAAAAATGAAACAGGATCCATGCCTCACACCATACACAAAAACAAATTCAAAATGGATTAAGGACCTAAACACACAAACTAAAACCTCAAAATTCTTAGAAGAACAAGCAGGGGCAATGCTGTGAGGCCTAGCTTTCAACAGTGAATTATCTAATATAATAATAACAAAAGCACAAACAAAAAAAGACAAAATAAATAAATGGGATCTCATAAAATTTTAAAACTTCTTTTTTATGGTAAAAAGCCTTTACCAAAAAAGTAAAAAGACAAGCTAATGACTGGAAAAATATCTTCAGAAACCATATATCCAACATGAATTTATTAACCAAAATATATATAAAACTTTGACAAGTTAACAACAAAGGCAAATAACCCAATCATAAAATGGGCAAAGGACTAGAATAGATATTTCACCAAAGAGGACATTCAAATGGCCACCAAACACATGAAAAGATGCTCAGTGTCATTAGTCATCAGAGAGATGCAAATCAAAACCACAATGAGATACCACTTGATCCCCCACTAGGATTGCTAAGATTTAAAAAAAAAAAAGAAAATGAGAAATGTTGGCAAGGATGTGGGGAAATTGGAACCCTTATCCATTGCTGGTGGGAATGTGAAATGGTACAGCCATTGTGGAAAACAGTGTGGCAGTTCCTAAAAAAAATAAAAATAGAACTACCATATGACCTAGCAATTCCACTCCTAGGTATATACCCAAAAGACTTGAAAGCAGAGGCTCAAACAGAGATTTGTACACCAATGTTCACAGCAACACTTCACAATAGTCAAAAGGTAGAAACAACCTAAATGCCCATCAGCAGATGAATGGATAAACAAAATGTGGCACATATATACAATGGAATACATTCAACCAGTAGGACAAATGAAGTCTTGATACATGTTACAGCATGGATGGAGCTTGAAGACATTACGCTGAGTGAAATAAGCCAATCACAAAAGGGCAAATATTCTATGACCTCACTTATATAAAAAGATAAGAAAAGGCAAAGTGTAGACACCAAAGTTTATTAGTGGTTACCAGGGGTAGGAGGGAGAGGAAAAAGCAGGGGTTAACGGTGACGGAAAAATCGCATTGATTAAGGGTAGGGTTGCACAGCCAATTATTGCAACTGTGGCCAATAAGTTGTACATCTATAAAAAGTTGAACTGGTAAAATTTGTGTGATATATTTACTTACAACAATAACAACAACAAAAAAAGAGTAGCTGCTGAGGCTGCTTATGTACAACCAAAAACCTCATGGGATTTAGTTCCTTGGTTTGGAGGTTTAGGGTCATGGTTTCATGGGATATCCCAGTTAATCGGCTTAATAACATGTTTAGTGTTTCTTTTTTACCTCCTAGTTTATTGCATAGTGCCTGGGATCTTAGAAGTTTGCAAGCAGCCATCCAAGGCACAATAATTGGTCTCATTCTCCTGCAGCAATACAGGAAGAAGGAGAGTCAGGAACAGGAGAAGGATATGGAACATGTGGCTAATTGCCTCCATGAACAACTGCCTCCTTTGCCATGAGACCAGAACTGGATGGTGCCTGGCTACCATTACTGAACATTTTGATCAAAGAGTCTATAGAAGAATCTTTCATATAAAGGGGGAAAAACGCAGAACAGAATTTAAAATTCTCATGGACTCTAGACTTTCTAAGCCATGGAGGGTGGATGAACCCCCAAAACTGTTGCCCTGAGATAATCTTTAAACATTAAACAAAAAATATCCCCTGGAGTCTTCTTAAAACCCAACAATAGTTTAGTTTAACTAGTAAAAAATGTCTGCCTTGAGCATTATGCTCTTTTAAGAACTATCTATACCAGATCAAACTGACAACAGCAATTCAAAAAATTAGCTGGAACCTTAGGGGGCAGTGAGTATATGTTAATGGGGGAGAAACAACTCAGAAAAGCTGGGTGAGAAGGGTTGCACAACTCGAAGAATGTAATAAATGTCACTAAGTGAAGTTGTATATGTAGAAACTGTTGAACTGGTGTATGTTTTGCTGTGTATATTCTCAAGAACAACAACAAAATAAAAACAAAAAGAGAGCAAATAGGGAAAAATGTAAACAACCAGTGAATCTGGGTAAACAAAAAATCCATTGCCACTGAGTCGATTCCGACTTATACGGACCCTATAAGATAGAGTAGAACTGCCCCGTAGGGTTTCCAAGTCTGTTATCTTTTCGGAAGCAGACTGCCACATCTTTCTCCTGTGGAGCAGCTGGTGGATTCAAACCACTGCCTTTCAGCTAGCAGCCAAGCACCTTAACCACTGTGCCACCATGGCTCCTGTAAAAGGTACATAATTCTTTGCAGTATCCTGGATAATGGGTACATAATTGTTTGTAATATACCCTTTCCTCACTTACTGACATGGTTAGGTTCCAAAGACCAGGTTGTTATGCAAAAATTGGCATTATGAGAAAATGGAGGATGACCACATAAGATTACAAAATGGAGGATGGCTACATCATTACATAACAGCCAAATTACATCATTACATAACTGCCAAACCACTGAGAATCATGGCCCACCCAAGCTGACACATAACCTTAACCATCACATCCGGCGTTACTCTTGCCTCACACCCCAATGTTTGTAACTGCCAGACGTATGTGTTAATCCAAAACAGTCAGATAGATTTTTTTACTATTGTCGTAAATGAAAAATGTCGGATAATGAGATAGTAGGTGCGGAATAGGTGTATTCTTATAACTCTTCTGTAAGATTGACAATTTCAAAATAAAATTGATAAGTTTTCCATTAAAAAGAAAAAAAGAATATAGTGGTAACCTTTAAAGGGGGATAGTGACTGGAAGGGGGCATGAGGGAGCTTTCTGGGGTGATGGAAGCACGCTATATTTTGAGCTGGGTGGTGGTTACATGGGTGTGTACATATATAAAAACTCTCACTGAGTGTACACCGAAGATTTGTTCCCCTTACTGTATGTATTTACTTCACTAAAAAAGAAAACTAAACTATGGAAAATCTTGTCTATTAAAAAAAAAAAGTGAAGAACTGATACATGCTACAACATGGATGAATCTTGAAAACATTATGCTAAATGAAAGAGGTCAGACACAAAAGGCCACATATTGTATGATCCCACTTATGTGAAATATCCAAAACAGGCAAATTCACAGAGACAGAAAGCCAACTGCTGGTTACCAGGGGCTGGGGGTGGGGGGTGGGGGAGAGGACAATGAGGAGTAACTGTTTAATGGATATGAAGTTTCTTTTTGGGGTAAGGAACATACTTTGGAACTAGACACGGGTGGTGGTTGCACAACATTGCAAATGAACTAAGTTCCAGTGAACTGTACCCTTTAAAAGGGTTAATTTTGTTATGTGAATTTTACTTTAATTTTTAAAAAAGTGGTTTGGAGGTTATCCTTGAATTTCACAGTGATCGCTTCCCTACTAGTCTAAGCCCTCTCACATTGTAAAGCAAGATACCCTTCTTTCTCCTATCAAACCCTCCACTAAACAAAATCCAAGATGATTCCTTGATGTGATGATATCACTCAGATTAGCTGTCAGCAAGCAGCTCAGGGCTGTTTCAGGCACAGGGACTCTGGAAGCTACTCTATAGCATGACCCTCCAACGTCAGCCCTAAACTATGTCAAGAGGCCTCAGAACAGGGCTCTCTCTTTCCAAAGCAGATTCATTTCTGCTCCCTAGGTTGGCTTCTTTACAAGAATTATTTTATTCCTTGGATTCCTGGGACTTGAGGACTTGGGTAAATGAACTTGATTGCCAAAGCTCAGCTCTCTTGCTGAGAACTTACCTTCCTTTGGAGGCTTAGCTTCAGCCTTCAGATACTCTCTGGGAGACAGAAACCAGCTTAAATATGCAGAAAGGATTGAGCTGCCTTAGTTATGAAGTCCGATCCTCAGCCTTTGCAAAGACACTAAGCAAACCTAGAAAAAAATAAAAGACATGGTGAGGCTCATGTGACAACAACAGCAGGATAATTTATCTCTGAGTTGGTTTCCATAGTTACAAGGGTGTGATTAGTAATTATAACCATACTGAACATGTAGTATTTCCTGTGTGACTCAAATAAGTAGAAAAGTAGAAGTAGAAAAGGCATTTGGCTAGATGCAATAATATTTAAAAATACATCTCTTTATATAAATGTTTAAAGTTTTTTAAGGTATGTGTATATACACATACACACATATATATACACACATATATATGTGTAAATACATATACCCAAAAACCCACTGCCATCAAGTCAATTCCAACTGACAGCAACCCTATAGGACAGAGTAGAACTGCCTTAGGGTTTCCAAGGATGTAAACCTTTACGGAAGTAGACTGCCACATCTTTCTCTGGCATATATACGTGTGTGTGTGTGTGTGTGTGTGTGTGTGTGTGTGTGTGTGTGTGTGTGTGTGTGTGTGTGTGTGTGTATTTGGAGCCCAGGTCCAAAACAAGAAAGAAAGGAAGAAAGCAAGAAAAATCTCCCAAGATCGGAGGCTAGAACTAAGATCACATCACACTGGTTAAACAATGATATTGTACCAATGAGGCTTATTTCCTGATTTTGATCACTATAAATAATTCAATGCCACAAATTTGAAATTAAAATGGACAATTTTCTAGAAAAATATAAATAACTAACATTGACTGACAAAGAAACACAAAATCTGAATAAACCAATCAACATTAAATGAAATAGATGTACATTTTTGAATATGGATAATTTTCATATTACCAGTTCACTTTTCCCCCAACTCACATTCATTAAGGGATACTAAGATTTGGTTTGGAGTCCTGTGTGACACAGTTAAGCAAAAGGTTAACCAAACAGTTGGCAGTTTGAACCCACCCAGGAGCACCTTGGGAGAAAGGCCTCTGGCGATCTGCTTCTGAAAGGTCACAGCCTTGAACATCCTACGGAATTCAGTTCTACTTTACACACCTGGGGTCACCACGAGTCAAAATCGACTCAATGGAATTGAGCTTTTTGTTATTGTATTTTGGAGTTTCTGTGATGAAAGATGTGATGAAAAAGTTTGAGTGATGAAAAAATTTAGAAAGAAACAATGGTAATAGAGACATAACATGGTGAATATAACTAATATCACTGAACTGGATGTAAAAATGGTTGAAATGGCAAATGTTTTATTATATGTATTTCCCCACAATAAAAATTAAATTCATATATCAAAGAAACACCAGTCCCAAATGCTTTTACAGGAATTGTATCAAGTTCTATTCAAGTTCTATGCAATGTATATAAAACAAAACAGATTTGTATCTAGAATATATGAAAAAATCCTAAACATAAATCAGTAAGAAAAAGACAATCCCAAAGAAATAGAGGCAAAGGTTATGAACACACAAAACAATCCTATGTATTGTTTATGGCTACATTCATATCTAGTAAGTAAATACATAAGGGGCCCCAGTGGCGCAACGGTTAAGTGTTCCGCTCTTAACCGAAAGGTTGGAGGTTCGAACCCACCAGCGGCTCTGAGGGAGACGATCTGGCGATCTGCTGCTGTTAAGACTACGGACAGGAAAACACTGTGCGGCAGTTCTACTCTGTCACATGGAGTCGCTCTGAGTCGGAATCTACTGGACCACACACACAACTAGTAAATTCAGACAGGAAGGATACATAGCAATTTCAGAAGAGCTGTTACCTCTAGAGTGAGAAGGAGGAGAATGGACCCAGATACTGTTCTTAAAGGGGCCCGGAGAGCCCGAAATAACAATTTTCCATCCTTCCTTGGTTTCCCTCATAGTTCAAAGCCAACAGTGGCTGCAACATAGGATCTGCAAGAGTGAGGGGAAGGAGCCTTGGTGGCGCAGTGGTTAAGCGCTGGCTGCTAACCATAAGGTCAGTGGTGCAACCTACCAGCAGCTCCGCGGGAGAAAGATGTGGCAGTCTGCTTTCATAAAGATTTATAGCTTTGGAAACCCTATAGGGCAGTTCTACTCTGTCCTATAGGGTCGCTGTGAATCGGAACCGTCTTGAGAAAACAGGTTTGGTTTTTGGTTTCCTCGGCAGTCGCCCTCCATCCCCCCGTAACCCTCCCCAAAAAGAGGCCCAGCCACCTGACGAGGCACAAATTGAGTTTAAAGACCTAGATGGGCAGAGAAGCTCTAGGTCATCGGACGAAAACAAATCCACAGTCAGGAAGGAGGGGTTACCTTTCCGGAGAGAGAAACTCAACTGGGCCGACGCTGTCACCATCATCCTCCGCGTTCCCTGCTGGATATGGATGGTGTGCCTCTGACCGAGGCTGCGGGAGGAGCGAGAAGCCAAGAGCTCACAGGCTGGCCCGCTACCTCCGGACCCACCCACCTACACCGCCCACCACTCCAAACTGGAAACTAAACCCGCACCCCGCACAAGATGTCACAAGGAGCCCGCAGCAGGCCTCTCCTACCGGGCACAGAATCGCGAACCTGCACAGAGCCAACAAAACACGCACCCTGTGCTGCCAAACCCCTCCACCAAGTGGACGCGAGCCGCACCTGCGCTGTCTACGCAGCTTGCAGCAGACAGCACCGCTTCTCTACATCCGCAGCACAAGGTTCCAGAACAGACTGGGTCCGCGACTCTAGTTGCCGTGGGATTAGCTGCAGCAACTTCAAAACTGGGTTTAAGCCGCTAGAGTCTGGGGGAACTACAACTCCCAGAAGCCTCATCGCCACTGCGCTTCCGATCGCGGCGAGGCATTGCCTGCCGCGGGGGAAGCTGGCGTGGGTGGCCCGGCCTGAGGTTGTGAGCCAGCGGGGAGACCTTTGGCGCTGCGGCTTGAGTGAAGGGGGTGAGCTGGCAGTGATTGTACCCTGTTACCTACTCCCGGGGCTCGCAATCACCTTGGCTTCATCCCACCTGGACTTCTTATGTGTTCCAGGCGCTGTTGTACACTGAGGTGTGCGTTCTGTCTCTGAAACCGGCCCCAGAACCAAAAAAGTACGACATGGACCTGTCTTTAGGCCTCGTTCCTACAGAGTTTACTACCTGAGGGCCTCCATATCAGGCACTTTATATTTTTAAAGGACTTAACCTTAAGTCTGTGCTGCTGTTATTGTTAGGTGCTGTCTAGGCAGTTCCAACTAATGGCGACGTAGGACAGAATGAAACACTGCCCAGTTCTGCGCCATCCCCACAATTGTTGCTTTATTTGAGTCCATTGCTAAAGCCAATGTGCAGTCCGTCTCACTGAGGGTCTTCCTCTTTTTCGCTGACCTCTACCAATGTGTAAGGATTCCAAAACTGACCTGCCTGGCATACCTAGTGTGGGTGGCTCACGTGTAGGCCCTACTCCATTTTTTGTGTTCAGCTTCTGCATTCCTTTAATATGCGTGTAGCCCAGGGCCTCTGGCTAGGTGGAACTGGCAGACTAACTTTTTCCGATTCATATGCATATGGCCTTGGGCCTCTCTTGTTATTGTAGTTAGATGCCATCCAGTCAGTTCCAAGCATAGTGCCCCCATGTACAACAGAAGGCAACACTGCCCAGTCCTGCACCATCCTCACAGTTGTTGCTACCCTTGAGCCCATTGTTGCAGCCACTGTGTCAGTCCATCCTATTGAGGGTCTTAATCTCTTTCGATGACCCTCTACTCTACCAAGCATGGTATCATTCTCCAGGGACTAGTCCCTCCTGAAAACATGTCCAAAGTATGTGAGACAAAGTTTCTGACAGCCTTGCTTCTAAGGAGCATTCTATCCGTACTTCATCCAAGATAGATTTGTTCTTTCTTCTGGAAGTCCATGGTATATTCAATATTCTTTGCCAACACCATAATTCAAAGGCACCAGTTCTTCTTCGGTCTTCCTTATTCATTGTCCAGCTTTTGCATGCATGTGAGGCTATTGAAAATACCATGGCTTGGGTCACAGGTACTTTAGTCCCCAAAGTGACGTTTGCTTTTTAACACTTTAAAGAGGTCTTTGGCAGCAGATTTGCCAATGTAATATATCATTTGATTTCTTGACTGCTGTTTCCATGGGTGTTGATTGTGGATCTAAGTATAATGAAATCCTTGACAACTTCAATCTTTTCTCCATTTATCATGATGTTGCTTATTGGTCCAGTTGTGAGGATTTTTGTTTTCTCTATGTTGAGGTACAATCCATACTGAAGGCTATGGTTTTTGATCTTCATCAGTAAGTGCTTCAAGTCCTCTTCAATTTTAGCAAGCAAGGTTGAGTCATCTGCATATCTCAGATTGTTAATGAGTCTTCCTCCAATCGTGATGCCGAGTTCTGGGATTATTTGCTCAGCATACAGATTGAGTAAATATAGTGAAAGGACACAACCCTGACACACACCTTTCCTGATTTTAAACAACTCATTATCCCCTTGTTCTGTTCAAACGACTGCCTCTTGGTCTATGTACAGGTTCCCCATGAGCACAATTAAATGTTCTGGAATTCTCTTTCTTCACAATGTTATCCATAATTTGTTATGATCCACACAGTCAAATGCCTTTCCATAGTCAATAAAACACAGGTAATCAACTTTCTGGAATTCCCTGCTTTCAGCCAAGATCCGTCTGACATCAGCAATGATATCCCTCATTCCACATCCTCTTCTGAATAAAGCTTGAGTTTCTGCCAGTTCCCTGTCAATGTACTGCTGCAACTGCTTTTGAATTATCTTCAGCAAAATTTTACTTGTGTGTGATATTAATGATATTGTTTGATTAACTTCCACATTCTGTTGAATCACCTTTCTCTGGGATGGGCACAAATATGAATCTCTTCCAGTCAGCTGGCCAGTTAACTGTCTTCCAAATTTCTTCCAACACTGTACCCATTTGTTGAAACATCTCAATTAATTCTGGAACCTTGTTTTTTGTCAGTGCCTTCAGTGCAGATTGGACTTCTTCCTTCAGTATCATGGGTTCTTGATCATACAGTACCTCCTGAAATGGTTGAGCATCAATCAATTCTTTTTGGTACAGTGACTCTGTATATTCCTTCCATCATCTTTTGATGCTTCCTGCATCATTCAATATTTTGCCCATAGAATCCTTCAGTATTGCAACTCAAGGCTTGAATTTTTAATTCCGTTCATTCAGCTTGAGAAATATCGACTGTGTTCTTCCCTTTTGGTTTTCTAACTCCAGGTCTTTGCATATGTCATTATAATATTTTGTCTTCTCAAGCTGCCCTTTGAAATACTCTGTTCAGCTCTTTTACTTCATCATTTCTTGCATTCACTTTAGCTACTCTATGTTCAAGAGAAAGTTTCAGAGTCTCTTCTGACATCCATTTTGGTCTTTTCTTACTTTTCTGTCTTTTTAATGACCTTTTGCTTTCTTCATGTATGATGTCCTTGATGTCATCCCACAACTCATTTGGTCTTCAGTCATTAGTGTTCAATGCATCAAATCTATTCTTGAGACGGTCTCTAAATTCAGACAGGATATACTCAAAGTCGTACTTTTGCTCTCCTGTTCATGTTTTAATTTTCTTCAGCTTCAAGTTGACCTTGCCTATGAGCAGTTGATGGTCTGTTCCGTGATCAGCTGCTGGCCTTGTTCTGACTTATAATATTGAGCTTCTCCATTGTCTCTTTCCACAGATGTAGTCAATTTGATTCCTATGTATTTCATCTGGCATGGTCCACGTGTATAGTTTCTGTTTATATTGTTGAAAAAGGTATTTGCAATGAACAAGTTGTTGGTCTTGCAAAATTCTCTCATGAAGTCTCCTGTTTCACTTCTATCACCAAGGCCATATTTTCCAACTACTGATCCTTCTTTGTTTCCTACTTTTGCATTCCAATCACCAGTAATTATCAATGCATCTTCATTGCATGTTTGATCAGTTTCAGACTGCAGAAGTTAGTCAGCAGAGCTTCTAGACTAAGACAGACTAGGAAGAAGGACCTAGTGATCTACTTGTAAAAAAAACTGGCCAGTGAAAATCTTATGAACAGCAGCAGAACATTGTCTGATATAGTGCCAGAAGATGAGCCTGTCAGGTTGGAAGGCACTCAGAATATGACTGGGAAAGAGCTGCCTCCTCAAAGTAGAGTCAACCTTAATGACATGGCTGGAGCAAAACTTTGGGACCTTCATTTGCTGATGTGGCACCACTCAAAATGTAAAGAAACAGCTGCAAACATTCATTAATAATCAGAACATGGAATGTAGGAAGTATGAATCTAGGAAAATTGGAAGTCATCAAAAATGAAATGGAACACATAAAGATATCCCATGCATTAGTGAGCTGAAATAGACTGGTATTGGCCATTTTGAATTGGACAATCATTGTTCTACTATGGTGGGAATGACAAATTGAAAAGGAATGGTGTCACGTTCATTGTCAAAAAGAGCATTTTGAGATCTATCCTGAAGGACAACACTGTCAGTGATAGGATAATATCCATAAGCCTACAAGGAAGACCAGTTAATATGACTATTCTTTAAATTTATAAACCAACCACTAATGTCAAAGACGAAGAAATTGAAGATTTTTTACCTATTTCTGCAGTCAATCTGTACTAGCAAACCCCTAAAACTGAGGCACTTGGCATAATAAAATGGCTGACATGAGGTCTCAGTCAAAGCTCCATCTTGTTGCAGGCTCTTGATTCCACATTCCTCAGACCATAACTGTCATGAATTGAATTATGTCCCCCCAAAAAATGTGTGTATCAATTTGACTAGGCCATGATTCCCAGTATTGTTTGACTGTCCTCCATTTTGTAATTGTAATTTTATGTTAAAGAGGATTAGGGTGGGATTGTAACACCACCCATACTAAGGTCATCCCTGATCCAAAGTAAAGGGAGTTTCCCTGGGGTGCGGGCTGCACCACCTTTTATCTTACAAGAGATAAAAGGGAAGGGAAGCAAGTAGAGAGTTGGGGACCTCAAACCATCAAGGGAAGGGAAGCAAGTAGAGAGTTGGGGACCTCAAACCATCCAGAAAGCAGTGCCAAGAGCAGAGTGTGTCCTTTGGACCCGAGGTTCCTGCACAGAGAAGCTCCTAGTCCAAGGAAGACTGATGATGACGAGGACCTTCCTCCACAGCAGACAGAGCAAAAGCCTTCCCCTGGAGCTGATGCCCTGAATTTGGACTTCTAGCCTACCAGACTGTGAGAAAATAAATGTCTCTTCATTAAAGCCATCCACTTGTGGTATTTGTTAGAGCAGTACTAGATGACTAAGACAGTAACCTTGACTTCTTCCTTTCATATGGATATAAACTTGGGCCTTTGGCTGGATGGGATGAGAAGACCCTGGCCCCTTAACAATCATCTTGTTTAACTGGCCTGGCTCTAACCCCAAGACACTCTCAGCAAGTAAGTGTGGGGGTCAGGAGTGTAGTTTAGCCATTCTTATTAATAAATAAGGGTGGAAGTCCAGAAGGGGATTGTAGGAGAACAAGTTCACTCAAGATGTTCCAGGAAGAAGGTTGACTAGCTAATGACGTACCCGCATTGTGACCATGGGACCATCATGCACTTGCCTTCCCCATCTTTACTATAAAAGCACACCTCTTCCTCCATGCTCCAGAGCACTTGGTAGACTCCTTTCTGCCCTGTTCCCACAATTCGTGAATTGTATTACCTTCAATAAATCTCTTTGCTTTTGCCCTAACAGAGTGAGCATTCTT